CAGATTATTGGATGGGCCTAGCCTTCTCTTTTGATGCTTACAATAAACTGGCATCATCTAAGTGGTTACCTATTCTAACACACCAAAAGCATAGAATTAAACAACTTTCAACAGCCTATTTTGAGTCTGACTCATCAGAATGTATCTGCTATATATCTGAATACAGCCTTTTGCTCACACAGAAGCTCTGTGGAAGAGATAAACCAATAATGTAAAAAGTTAAGGTATTTTTTTCTTTTTTTTTAAGATTTTATTTATTTATTTGAGACAGAGAATGAGAGAGACAGCATGGCGGTGGGGAGGGTCGGAGAGAGAAGCAGACTCCCTGCTGAGCAGGAAGCCCAATGCAGGACTCAATCTTGGGGCTCCAGGATCATGACCTGAGCTGAAAGCCATCACTCAACCAACTGAGCCACCCAGGCACCCAGGCATTTTTTCAAATAGCAACAAGTTACACATAGACAGAAGGGACTGAGAGAATCAGAAGATTAATATATACACACATACATTTACACATGCACTAACATGGTCTTCATATTCCTATGCTAATCTTGAGCATGTCTACAAACAGGATCAAGTGTAACTAAACTGATTGGTTTTCTTTTATTTGGCCAATATACCAAGTCCTTGGCTTAAGTTAGTGTATTATGTGGGCTTTATTATGGGATAATTAGGTTCTTAAATTAGGATATACAGTCAATATGTCTATCAATGATTCTCTATGAATCATTCAAATATGTACTTTTCTATAATACTGAACATAAAAATAGCCCATGTGTATCCTCTACATTAGACAACTTTTAACTCAGGGAATAGAATCATAAAGTACTTTTCTTCTCTTCCATTTACATTTATTCATTGGGGCTAGTGTTTTTCTTATTCCTAGAATAAAACAAAACAAAACTCTATTAAGTCTGGTGACTATTATGTGACTTGAGTTCCTCTAGTGGGTAATTAAAATGTTCATTGTCATTTAGTAGCCAGAATTTTGAACTTGTTCCCACTTTTGACCATCTTTAAAGTGGAAGCCCTGAAGTCAAAGAAAGGAGAGCAGTCAGCTTCTTTGCTTTGTGTGTCTGTAACTTCAGGGCTGAAGCAAGTGAGAATAGGTAAAGAGGGAACAAAAGGTTCTCACCTGACAGATACTCTCATGTATGGCATGATACCTTCTGAATCTAGCTGGAGTTGTCAGCTGGCCTTTCCTCTTGTGTCTGCCTTGTGGGTTTTTTGGAGATCCATTTGATCCACTCCTGGGGACTTCTCATCTTCCTTTGATGTGGGTAATATATTCTCCTCCAGCTCCAATACTTACTCATTCCACAGCCCCATACTTCTAGCTCTGCCTGATAAGTTCTTTTTTAGCCATCCAGGAAGCTTTATTGGAAAATATCTGTAAGATACCCCCTCTTCCACATCTCTCATCTCCCCAACCCCTGAACTCCATTTGGGCTTCTGTAACAAAATACCACAGACTGGTTAGCTTATAAACATTTCTGATAGTTCTGGAGACTGGGAAGTCTAAGATCATAGCACTAGCAGATTAGTGGCTGGTGAGGTCCCTCTTCCTGGTTCATAAAGAATACCTCCTCACTGTGTCCCCACATGGTAGAAGAACTAGGGAGGTCTGTGGGGCTTCCTTTTATAAGATCACTAGTCTTATTTGTGAGAGATATATGTTCATGACCTAAACACCTCCCAGAGGTCCCATCTCCTAATACTATCATATTGAGGATCAGGATCAGAATATAAGAATGATGGGTGGAGGCACAATACTAGTGATCCTCTCTCTCCTATTCATTCACATTCATATTTTCTGTCTGTCTGTTTGCCTGGATAGAGTCCATAGAAGCAAACTTTCCCATAGGCCACCCAAAACCTCTTCTTTTGTACTTTTATCGGCAACTAACCAGTCTATCTTTTTACATAGACTTCTTAGGTAGGACTCAGGGACTCTGTGTGAGGCAGCTATCAAGTTCTTCCAAGTAGTTATATTTAACCCTTTTTTCACTGGACTTGAAGCTTCCTCCTTGAGAAGAAATTGGGACTTAACACCACTAGCATCTCTCTCTCAAAAAAATTAAAAAAAAAAAAAGGGAAAAGAAAAAAAAAACTTCGGTATCCACTTTTCTATTTCTTAGCTTCTCCAACCTTTCATAGGCTAAAACCGGGTGATCATCTCAGAGAATTATGTTACCCTCCCCAGCCCCAAGTTCTGCATGCTGGTCCTAATCAGAAACACAGTACCAATTGTCTTCAAGCCTCAGCTTTAACTGAGACATCAACAGTGTACTTTAACATTTTTATAGTTTTTTGTTTTGATATATGAGTAGTCATTTTTTTAAAATCAGAAAACAGCATATCCAGTAACTATATATAAAATAAATATATTTTATAATATAAGTAGGTATTATATTAATAATGTTTTGAGTATAATAATACGAAAAAAACAAATGGTAAGTTAAGTGATTTTCAAAATACCTAATATAATTGATCAATTAAATACAGATCTATTTCTCACTTATTCAGGCATTTATTTCTTCCCTTAGAAAAATACTTATTCAATGTCTGCTCTACAATAGGAACCTATTGCAGGGCTGAGCAAATTTGGTTCACTCCCTCATGGAGTTTCCAATATAATCTATTATAAAAAGAGTATCTTTTATATTGCACAATTTTTGGATGTTTGGAAAGAACTGACATAGTCTTAGAGCATGGGTAGAGATGGAAAACCGGTAAAGAAGAGAGAGAGCAACGGATGCACAAAAAACAGTCTGCCAATAAGAGCTCAAAACTGATCATAAATTGGTGAAAAGTAGTAGTAGGAAGGAACCTGTGACATACAGGTTGTGTATGCTGGGTAACTTAATAAATGCAGGTACTTATAATAAGGCACGTTGTTAGCATGACTATAGGGAAAAGGTAGTTTTGGGATGAGAACATGCTATTTGGAGAAAGTTGCTGTAAACATATTTGTACCAAAATATTGATTAAAGAAAAATCTCTTATCTCAATAAAGAAAACTATGCAGCTATCTGATGGAGTGCAGTTATGAATGTATCCAACCACTGAACACTGCCTGGTAATATAATTACTAGTGGTTATATTTTTGTAGCTAGCTTTGAAATATATATATTTTATTGGTTTTTAAGTTTAAGAGGAGAAAATATGCCCTACTGTCATGCAACTTCTATTCTGAGAAAAATAATGAATATTTTTATTTAATTATATATTTAAAATTTTAGAATCAGCTGCCTGTTTGCAGAAAGGACATAAATCAGTTTTTAAAGTTGTCTGCAATGCTGGGAGAAAAAAAAATAAGGCAAAGAAAGCAAGAGAAAGAAAATAAATAGGTAGGCTGGTTAGTACACAAAAGGCATATAGACCCCTTCTCCCCCTCCCCTTGTTCCAGAGAGCTGACCCCTTCAGAGAGAGTTTCCCAGGCTCTGAGTCAGCAGTATCCCTGCTGGGGTCAGCCAGTGGGACAACCAGTAGGATGCTACAGAACAGTAGAAATGGAAAAGATGTGGTACTTCTTACTTTTTCTTTGCCTTCAGTAGCTGAAGCTACATCTTCACTCCCCTGCATTTGTGTATATAGAAATTTCAGCTTCCACCAAGTTACCCCAGTCCCTTTATCTCTTCAGCCTAGGCTTAGTAATGGCTTCTTTTCTTTGGGCTGCCTCACTGTCCTGACTGCCCTCTCAGATTTTTATCTTTGGTGGAGTAATTTCTCTCCTTTCAGTGCCCTCTGCTTTAAATATTCAGAGAGTTTTCTGTTGTCTGTTAGATCATGACTATTACAATTACTCATTATAAGATAATGGGATATCTCTCAGCTCTATTCTATATAAACAGTTTTACATAGGGAAATATCATGGAAAGTCTTATCTGCATATTACCTTTTTATGCAACAATGAATAGCAGACACAGAAAGGTACAGCAAACAAATTGCCATTAGTCATTCAGATGTGATCTTTAGGAAGAAAATAATAACTCACCAATATCAATACACATGACATTCCAGCACATAGATTCAATGACACATTTTCAGTGGTTTGTTCCCTAGAAGATCCCTAAAAATGCACATATGCCAACACCTTGGCAGTAATGAGTACATGTAATACAGGAAGACTATCCTGGGGAAGCAGTAACCCTCTCACTCCTCTATGTCCCTGATTCACTTACGACTGTCCTTTCTCGGCACATGTGGAAAATACAGGGGAAAGCTGCTTTCCAATTCTTCATTTCATTAAAAATGTAACAACTCACCAAAGTTTCAAGATAACCTTTGCAACTCAACAAAAGTTTCAAGTTACCCACTAGTCATATGGCAATAGTGAAACTTTTCCTAAGAACTCAGAATTAATGCCAGTTAAAGAATATTTTCTGATCATTTAACTTAAAGATAAATACATTCTGTCTAGAGAGGTCATGTACAAACTTACCCTAGAGAGACAAATGAACTTTTAGAACTTCCTGATATATATGGAACCCGATGTTTAAAAAAAAAAAAAAAAAAAGTGCTCACTGAGAAGCCCAAGGATGCAGGAAACCAAATACTATCTGTGTTTATCTTAGATCTTAACCATAAGAGACAGTTACTTCAGCCCATAAAAGAGGTTTATTTCGTTCTGGTGTCATTAAAATTTTCAGTCATATGGCTAATGCCCTAGTTTTTATTACACATATATCCAGCTGTCTTTGCATCTCAATTTGGTCTACCTGGGCTTCCCAAGAGGGATAATATGCAATGCCTGGAATATTTTAGTCTCCACAGTAGCTGTGGTTCTTATAATCAATTAATAAAACAGCATCATAAATTCATATTATAGTATCATAAATCTGAAATGTGCACCCTCTCTGTGAAGGGTATGTTGGTAAGCTTTGTTGCTCAGCTTGCTGGACTAATCTTAAACCATGGCAAAATCACAAACAATACTCCCTGTGACATATCTTTCCCAGGAAATGCATCCCACCAACATCCATTTCTTCTCCACTTACCTGAAAGACTTCTTAATATCTTCTGCTTGGATTGTCTCGAGAATCTCTTGGTATAACTGAAGACCAAGCGTTGCTGAAGATGTAGCATTTGAAGGACATTTTTTATGTGCATAATAGCCTATCAAAATCCCAAAAATAAATAAAATGATGGCTGTGCAAAGTACTTTTAAGAGGCGGCAAAAGTTGCAGGGGTTGCTCTTTGGTGCAGATCTTGTGTAACGGGTAACATAGTCAGACTCTTCTTGAAGTCTCTGAAACCTTCCTTTGGGTGAAGTTGCTGGTTGAATGGAATCAAGATTGAGATCTGCAGTCTCTGGATTCTCCAGGTTCTGATTCTCAGCACTATCTAGTTGGAACTGGTCAAAACCAGGCTCCTCCAGTTCCTTTTCCATGTCCCATTCTAAGTCAAGGGCAGTGGCTTGAAGGTCATCATTGTCTAAGTACTGTGAATGCCCTGGTGCTCTTTGATCTGCATTCACCTTCTGATAGGCCATCTTTTTACCTGTGAAAATAAGGGAAGCATGTTTTCTTAAAATAAGTTATAAAATAAAATAAAGGAGACTCATTTAAATTGGAGTGGGGAGATCAGAAGGGTGAGATCTCATACCTTGCCTCAGCCAATGACACATCCCAACAGAAAGAGACATACCTTGCGTTCTCAACTTGAAGAAGCTTACTTTATTACGCCAGCAGGAGAAAGGAAAATTTTCTCTCTGTTGGGCAACAAGCTTAGCAAGTAAGAAAATACAACAACTCAGCCAGTGAGGACCCATCACCACTCAACTCTCACTTTCCTTCCATAGACTTTTCATTCAAAGCAGTCCTCCCATCCTTCTTCTACTCAGTAAAGCAACAGTTCTCTCCACTGATCTCCAAACTTTCCTGTGGTTTGCCAAAGTTTGCAGGTCCTGAATTGCAATTCCTCTGCTATTCCTGAAAAAAACCATTTGCTGATAAAATAATTGACTGTTTACTTTTCAGGTTGACAAAACAAATAATAATGAAAATCACCATGATGAAAACAAAAGAAAGCAGCAATCCAAATTAGATGCCCATAAAACTTTTAGTGATTATAATCAGGAGAAATATATTGTCCCTATAGAAAAACCATATATTCATTAATTATTTAATCTTCTGTTTTGCTGTTGATGTTTACAATAGGAAGAAAAGACAAAAAAATAAATAAATAAAAGTAGCATAAAGTAGAAGATCCTTGGAGAAACTATGAGAAAACATAAAATAGACATACACACAATCATTCCTTTGAAGCTCAGGAAACTAAAAAAAGTACAAGTGCATTTAGGATAATATATTATAATGAAGGCAAAATTTAAGCTTACACATTGTCAAAATCACTTTTAAGAAAAACTAAGGGCAGAAGCAATAAAGCTGTGGTTTAGTAAGTGAAAGAGGAAAAAAAAGAAAAAAGACCCTGGGATGATTTATATTATAAGAGCTATATTTAAAAAAGATATTCAGGGTAGAACAGAAATAAAAACTCAATGGATAGGACCACTATTGAAATACAAGAAGCAAAATATTGTATGGTTACCTCATCATGAGTTTTCAAAAGGATTGGAAACTTTAAGGCTACCACAGAAGACCAAATGTTCTGTGAACCTAGTGACATGAATTGGCCTGGACCACTGAACTTTAAATCAAAGTCTGTGATGGCATCCATCCAAAAAGGGAAACCTTATGCCAGCTAGGAGAGCTTGATTTCATAACCTTGCTAGAGGAGTGGCAGATGGAGATTTTCTCCCCTACACAGTTTTGGATGACAGTTTGTTATATCCTGCAGAGTGGTATTAAGCTAACTGGGCTAATTAACTACAAGTGGTCTTCAGTCTGTATTCAGTAACCCACTGGTGTATTATGGCTGCAGATTAGGAGTATTTATACTTAAATTTTCTGTGTATTAGATTTGTCATCCCAGCTGGATTCTAAGGTCCCTCACTATGTTTTATGGTTTTTCTATGTGTCCCACTGTGGTGGGTGAAGAACAGAGCTCAACAGACAACTGATTATCTAAGTGCCTTAGGGCCAGTGGTTAAATAAATTCTAATAAAAAGATACAAACAGGGACTTCATGAAAGGGAATGGCATCACGCACAGAATCATGGGTATGTACAACCCTAATCTGGGTTTGCAGAGGTCCATGTTAATTAAAATGTTCTGAACTTTTCAGAGAATTCAAACATAATTAAATATTCATCTTAAAAAATAAAAATTATAATTCTGTCTAGATATCTCTTCTGCTACCTCATAATCTAGGATTCATTCTTACCCAGAGTTGACTCAATAACAAGAAGTAATGCATGCCAGGTTCTGGGATAGGCGATGAAAACAAATATAAATGGGTCCTTAGTCCTCAAGTAAGGAACAATTCAATAAGAGATAAATGCATGAACGAACTTATATGTTAAATAAAAAATGCCCAGTGCCAGGGAGACTCAGGGGTGACTGGCGGTAGCATAGACTATGGGAAATTGTTCCCCAAGAAAGTGATCTCTGAGATACTTCTGGCAAAAGAGGAAGAGTGAACTAGGGATGACCAGGGGGGTGAAAGGATGACAATCAGGAAGGGGAAAATTTACAAACACACAGAGGAATGAGAATGAAGAGAGCATGGACACTTTAAAAAATCCAGAACTACCAGCAGACTATATACAAAGAAGGAACACATGGGCCAGAGATTCAGAGAAAAAATCTAGGAAAGGGTGACTTTGGGCAAAAGGCTTAGCTTCTGTGCAACCTATGGTCTTCATCTATGAAATGGGCATGGTAATAATATAAACTTCATAATGTTTTCATTAGATTAAGACGGTGCACCTAAAACATACATCGAGTGTTGCATAGGCTATATTTAGAAGGGACATCCCCAGTATTAGAGGAGAGAGGATTAGGCAGGATTGTTGGAAGAAATTAATTTAGTAATGCAGAAGAAATTATATGGGTCTGTAAGACATCATGGAGAGGGGGAGGTTTATGATATTCACCATGGACATTCACACATATATATGCTAGTTGTGATTTAGTTGTTTTACACTTAGTCTATACGTAGAGACAAAAGAGAAAAACACTGCATGACACACCAACTGTTATCATGAGGTGTTTATTTGATACTATATGTCATAATAGCCTCAGGAATGATTTTTCAGGCCATCTCCCATTGAGCCTCCCTCCTTCCCTTTAGCTTAGCCTAGGTTCCAAAATGATTCAAGGAAGCACAACCTTTGAATTTTATATTCGGTCATACCAAGACAGGGAGAAAAAGAGAGTAATAATTGGATTTAGTAATATTTATTCATCTACTTCAGGTGATAATTGATTAAATGGTAGAGGAAGGCTCCAAATCACACTTGGTTAATTTTTTTTTTAAGATTTTATTTATTTATTTGACAGAGACAGGAGATCACAAGTAGGCAGAGAGGCAGGCAGAGAGAGAGGAGGAAGCAGGCTCCCCGCTGAGCAGAGAGCCCGATGCAGGACTCGATCCCAGGATCCTGGGATCATGACCTGAGCTGAAGGCAGAGGCTTTAACCCACTGAGCCACCCAGGTGCCCCTAATTTTTTTTTTTTTTAATGGTAAAAGAAAATACTGGAGGATAGGAAAAACTTGAAAGAAGCAAAAATAAAGACTTGCTAAAATCCATACACATGAGAGGAAAATTCCTAAAGCAGAAGAAGAAACTGAGATCCAGAGGTGAATTATTCTTTAGACTAAGAAAAGTGATGTTTGGGTACATTTTTCTTAAAATGATTTGTGGTTTTATAAAAATATGAGGTTAATAAGTTGGCAGTAATGTAATATTAAATACCCCACAATTCAACCTATTTTAACATATATTATAAAATACTGCAATTTTGTAACACTAGTCAAGTTTTTTCTTATTTAGCTTAACCATCAATAAATCCCAGCTATCTGGCCATGGTATTATGATGTTTACTTCTTTAAGTGTTCACTTTATGCATTATTGATTAATTTATTTAGATACTGTCCCAAGGTGGTTTTTTAGACTTCTCCTGCTTTTCATTTTAATGAATCAGAGTCTCTGTCTTTAAAGGTTGTTTGAAAAATTAAACTGTAGACCATGGCTTACACTCAAGGAAGACTTGGCACACAGGAGTTACTACGGAAACACGAGATCTCTAATTATGACCTCTAATACAAACATTCAAAGTCATTTCTCCACAAATCATTTAAAAACCAACTGCAGTGATGAGGCAGAGTTTTCATTTCTAGCCTGACAATAGGCATTCCATCACACGTACATCAGCAATTTAACGCTTTTCAAACATCAGACAGAGCCATCAATTAGAATGTAATGCAGATACATATATGAAGTCCTCACCATGCTGGGGATCTGCCTGACACCTTTACTACCACTTCTGAACCCATTACACATTTATAAATTTACCCTAAATTCTCTCTTCTAGGAGAACAGTAACTGGGTCAAAGGTAAATGGAGCCATTTGATGTAACAACTTCCACAGTATTTCAGGAAAACTTCCAAGGAAATAAGTATGTGAGAACATAAACAATGAAGCATTTTAACCATTTATATGGCAAAACAAGTTACATATATATTATATACATGTTCTATATATATGTATTTCATATAAATTTAGAAAACCATTTACCTTTAAAACTACCTTGCTTTGAGGAATATAGTATAGCTTTTTTGCAAAAATACATATAAATCCCTGCCTTGAGAGTTCTGTTTCACTTTTTCTAAAATAAACGCCTCAAAAATAAGCCCAAATACTGTACTGAATAAAAGTACCATTATTCAATTTCGAGTCAGCACAAATTATTTTATCCACACTACAGAGAATGCAGCTTTCCTTAAAATAGCTATGCTCTGGGCACCTGGGTGGCTTAAGTGTTGGACTCTTGATTTCCACTCAGGTGATGACCTCAAGGTTGTGAGATCACTCCCCACATCAAAACCTGGGGACCCCGGAGTCAGCTCCATGCTCAACAGGATGTCTGCTTCTCTCCCTCACTCTCATCCCCTCCTCCTCACCAGTGTGCACACTCCCACACTCTCTCTTTAAAATAAATAAATCTATAAAAATAAGTAAAATAAAATAAACTATTCTCTGAGGTAAGTAGAAAATATAACAGTGTTTTTACCAAAACTTCAAATTCTCAACTATAATAGAAAAGATATATTATAAAAAGAAATTTTCAGCAAAATCAGCATGTCTTAGATATGATCATATAATTAGGCTATTCAAACTTCATATATTTTCTATTACTGATATTCACTTAATTTATACTGTCATATTATTTTACACCTAAGTCTATTTGAATAATTTAAAAAACTACATATAGATTTTAGAATCTGCCATATGACTCTTTCTCTAAAAGAGATATATAGTTGACCCTTGAACAATGTGGGATTAGAGGTGCCAACCCCACAAACAGCTGAAAATCCATGTACAACTTTTGACCCCCTCCAAACTTAACCAATAACCGACTGTTGTCTAGAATTC